TGATCTCTGGCCACACCGTAAGCATGGGCGAGCCGATGGCGAATACGGGGTCATCAGACCACCACGGATGGGGCCCAATAGGACTGATACCGATACGAAGCCGCGAATGACTTAACAGGTTACCGGGGCTCCGGCTACAAGAGTGCAAGAGGAGGAACGGGGTGGTTTTTAGTAAGTAAGAGTTTGACACTCCCTCTTGCCTCACCCAGGCGGTGGCAGTCTTTCGATGAATTTCCTCCTTAAAAAAGTGTCGTGGTGGCGGCAGATTAATCAATCGTGGAACTTTTAGGTATTGTAATACTTGACGACACATACATTTGTGATTTTAATGTGAAAATGCTTTTATTTCTATCCAATGACAGCTATCTATTAAACTTAAACTTTAATTAGTTATTTTCTTTCGTAATCTACCCTAGACAAAGTACACTGACCTAAAAGTTTTCTCTGAACTCTTTGACGACCCACAATTACTTAAATACTATTTGCCTATCGAGTAGAATAAAAATATCCTGTAACAATAGCAATAATGAGGTATAAATAGCAAAAATTGATGATAAAACGTTTGCAAACATGACTTAGCCTTGATTACACAGATCGTTTGAACTGGATTCCGTCATCCAGGTCAATCTCCTTAATTTAACCCAATCGTCATCATCGCGTTAATTGACTGTATCATCATTCTACATCTGATGATTAAAAAACTAAACATGAATTTGTACAAACAAACGCCTTGTCATTTAAACTGTCAAACACCAAGCGGTCACCGGTGACCGCAACCTATTGTTCTATAATTATGTCTACAAAACCGGTACTCGACGAGTTAATTTTGTGCTTGAATGTGAGCTATTATGTATGATAGCAGCTATCGGTTAATAGTTTTGAAAGTATTAAGTACTTATTACATTATTATTTTGTAAGTTTTCACATTATTTCCCATTGAGTAAAAGTTGCCGTTTTTTCATGCATCAAACCTGCGTAAATCTAGATTAATCTATTCATAGTCTGCCCATAAATATTTCATCTAACATGGGTTTTTTATTCCCCATATTTACGTAGTAAAGAATACGGATATTAGTAATAACCAATCTATTGTTTTTTTCTTTTTTAATGGCTTTAATAAAATAAACTTTTTAAATCTTTACATTGATATTGATTAGTAACATTTTGTTTTATTGCATTTCTGTAATAACCCAGATTGATACACACCAAAGGTACTGTTGTCAATAGACCATACTCAAAAATATTCAAAAATCGAACGTCTGTCGATTCACAAACATGGCTGAGATGAGCATGCTAATTTTGAGCAACATTCCGATATAAGCAATAAGGCCAATCGTATTTCTGCTCACCAGATGGCGCTATGTGAACCTCTGATTATTCGTCCAATAGAAACTTAGCTAGTGTTACACCATTGGACTTAAAATATTTGACAGCTGCTGTGATTGGACAATAATCTTCTTACTATATTTGCGCTGTTCGGTGAACTAAAATATGGTAGACCGTATTGAAGAATGCTTTTGTTCTTGAAACTAGCATGTAGTACCAGTATCTTTCGATCGAGTTAGTCTACCTACACTGAAATCAAACTAGAAAACGTTTATTCCTACAAATAGCACTTACGACAATAATATGAAACCAATAAGTAGTTATGTCGTCAGAAACGTTTTTGTTATGTTCAAATAATAATGAAACTTCCATTAGACAATATTAGACATCTGACGTAGGTGATAGATACGTCTTGGTTTTTTGTGATATTTATTCAGTGAACGAGAAAAACATTGTTTGACATTCGTAATAATGTATGGCGTATCTCGATACTAAATAATAATACGATGAACTGTCATACAAATTACTAAATTGAAAATGACAGATGTGTATTATGTTAGTAGTGGTGGACCGGAGGTTTAAGACGCCCGTTTCTCGTGCATGAGGGTACGGGCTCGAAACCTACCAACGGCAAGTACCAATGTGACTTTTTCCGAGTTATGTGTACTTTCTAAGATTATCTAGACACCACTGATAAACGGTGAAGGAAAACATCGTGGGGAAACCTGAGCTTATAATTTCTATTTATAAGTATGTAATCGCCAACCCGCATTGAGCAAGCGTGGCGATTAATGCTCAAACTTTCTTCATGTGAGAAGAGGCTTTGCTCAGCAGTGGGCATTTATGGGCTGTTGATGATGATGGGAATAGAGTAAGGGGTAAATATTTTTGTAGAGTATTATTAATAATACACCAAGAGAGTTTGGGTACTTCAGGTCACGTATTTACATTGTGCTTGGGTTCAGTATTAGGTAATAGACTACTTCTACCTTACACTGGATTCAAACTGAGAGAGAGATAGTTACCTCTGGTGTCAAGATAGATAATAATAGTAAAATAAGATATTTTTTATTAAAGTGAGTGAATAGGTTGCTTATGGGCCGACGTGCTCCACCGTAGACCGCATTCCTTAGGCGAGACAGTGGTCAAACATCGGCCCATCAAATATAAAAAGGTACAACTTGGCTTTATACAAATTGAATGAACCGCCACGATCAGGGAGGTACTGTTGACTCTCTCACATAATACCAGAATGAAGTGATGACGTAATGTTAATGTGTTTCGATTTTTAAATCTTCCCTATAATGATCAAGTGGAAGACACGTTAATCAGCGGACTTCCTTGAGATTATTAAAATAGACCCAATGGGGTAGACGACTAATTTTTATTTTAATGTCCGTCTGGTAGATTATTTAAAAACATTAGACACGTATTTTTTATTTTCTTACGGAAACGAATAGTTTCGAAGATATATTGATTTGAAATGTCGCGTGACGTCACTTCTCAGTACATTTTATACTAAGAAATGACGTTTTAGCCCCCACTCCTAAACTTTGATTCGTTTTATCTAAGTATTGTTTTATTATACAACAAAATAAAAAAATACGTGTCTAATATTTTTTTATTACCTAAGTTACGGACTAATTATATTATATCGAACGTTTTTAATTGAACTGTCTCTGCCATTGTGCAGGAAAACAGATGAAAAACGTTTTTTTAGAGCCGCTAACAATTTCCTTTTGAGAGCAAACTTGGTAATTACGTTATCTGTGGTTAGGCCAGTAATTTTAGTTGCTGAGTACCACGTAGAGGACGAAATGGAATTGTTAAAGGAATATTGAAAAAGAATTTATATTATATTGTCTCAAAGAATTATAAATATTGTGAAGGATTGCAATAATTTGAAAGAATGTTTATTACTAAAACAAATTTGTTACTAAAACAAAGTGTTCTCAAAGTATGCGAAGGCAAAATAAAATGCATTCATTTTTTCACTTACATTATTATCTAAAACTCGTAAGTTGAAAGTACCGAGAAAAACTAAGTACTGGTTTCGAACCACAGAGGGGTTCTTCCTCATAGGTAGCGTGGGCGGTTGCGGCAATGTCGCGCAGCCTACCCGCGATTTTTAGTTAACTTACTATATCTCACGATAGTTATTATAAAAACTTACATTAGAGAAAGGTGTGGATTGAAAGATGATGTAGTGACAAGGATTGAAAAGGGAATGTTACGCTGGTTTGGACATGTAGAAAGGATGGATGAAAGTAGAGTAACGAAAGAAGTATGCAGAGCGGATATGAATGGGGCCGTCGGTAGAGGGCGCCCTAGACGGACATATAGTGACCAGATTGGCGATATATTAAAGAAGGGCCAAATCAAAAGTACCGTTAACCGACGAGCATGCATGAAAAGATTGATGACTGTTAATTAAGCGAAAGAGGTATGTAAGAATCGTAGTAATTGGCGTTCCTTAGTCTCTGCCTACCCCCATGGGAGACAGGCGTGAAGTTATGTATGTACTTACATTATTATTAGTATTCTTTTAAACAAACCAATTATTAATTTTATTATTTTTACAAGACTTTATCCTATATTATGAACGTGTTCACAAACATACTCATCACACACACCTACACACGTATTATAAACCAGAACACAATTTATAAAAACCTATATAACTTTTAATTCACTCCGTATATTCTCAATATCCCCATCTTTACTTATTCCATAATCAACCTTAATTCCTTGCCATAGAACCAGCTGTCATCTGTCAAGGACATTCCCACATCACCACTTAAGAAGGAGTATACTCCTAGGCCCTTTATCCCTTCCCCCACTTCGCATAATATGAACATTTAGGGACCGGTACACGTAGACTACTTGATTTTCCATTTATCATAACGATTCAGCTTTTAATGCGAGATGACAGTAAGAAGTAGTTTGCAGTCCGGTCCCGTAGTTCCCGTTGAGGGTTATATAGGTAGGTTAGAGTTCCGGGTTTGTGTGAATAATGATGCAGTTTTGTTGTTCAACTGTTGATTTCGTTTGTGGTGCAAGTTTTGTGTTCTGAATTTGATAAGGATTCTGTGACTATGCAGAAGGTCGCAATAAATGTAAAGAGTAACTGTATTTATATTGATTGGCCCAATGGTTACTCTTGTACTCTTTTTTCAATTCTCTCGAATAGGGTAGATGACAAATTTTTATTTCAAAGTCCGTCAGGTAGATTGTTTAAAAACATTAGTAACACGTATTTTGTTTGTGTTTCGAAGATATTTTAATTTGAAATATCGCATGACGTCAGTTTTGAGTACAATTTATACTCTAAAATGACGTAGCTACCTCCCACTCCTAAACTTTGATTCGTTTTATCTAAGTATTGTTCTCTTATACGACAAAATAAAAGAATATTAATAATATTTTTCATTACGTAACTGACGCACTAATTACATTTTTAATTTTCATACCCTGCCATCATCCCTATGGTCTTGAATTGAGTATCATTGAAAAGTATACATTCAAAGTTCGAAGGTAACAATAGCTACTAAACCAAACCTTATTTTGTGTTTGTATGCCAAATGGTTTAGCTGACTGTACATATTTGCCTGCCTTTTAAGGAGGGAATTTATGTTATATGCATGTATAAATAAGTGTGATTTTCCTTGTTGCAGATATAAAAGTGATTGCCGATATGAGCAGTCGTGTCTCTTAAATTGAACTACAACGAAAAGTAAGTTACTGTTATTTATTGTCAATGTTATATTTGTCTTTTAAAAATCTATTTTGAGTAGGAACAAGGTTAATGTCATAAACCAAGAATAGTTGTTTGTAAATAGTCGTTTCAATCATTTTCAGAACTCATTAAAAAATACACATTTTCAATTCCTATTTCATATTTAATGATACGTAAGAATTACTATAAAACAAAAATACGCAAACGTTTCCGTATTATTATAAGGTATGAATACAAAAAATATTATTATTATTATCATTGAAACTGTAAGACACATAAAATTTCCAGTTTCTCTAGTATTTCACAAACATCGTTTATTTTGTTATTTCCTGATAATTAATGAAGCATTTCTTTTGATGATATTATAATTATTGCCAGACGTAATATGTCGTACACCAGAAATAAATTGACAAGCGTAAACATGTGACTAGTGAGTTGTGTCGTCACATTTTATCAAATGTAATTTAGTGCGGGTGCGGAGAGTGAGAAGTGTCAACAAATTGAAATTAGTCAACGCATCCATGACATTGGAGATCTTGGCGATGGCCCACAAAAATTATTGTCTGTAAATACTCATCGGTTTTACTTTGTGAGAAACTGATGATGGAGTTGTTAACACCAAAAAAGTTTAGATTCCATTATCAAGTTAAGTGATGTCAAATTTATGTTATAACTTTCGTGAGACATACTAAACCAATTATTTTTATATATACTAAATATGTTTTTCGGCTTACTCGTGTAATTATTTGACGAGGAACTCGACTAGTTTCAAGCCATAATAAAGGCTCATATTCATAAGCAGCGCTCCGCGACCCGCGACGCGGCGACTGTCACGCTGCTACTGGCATCGATGTCAAATATTTGGAATTAATTTTCCAGAAATCGCAGACCTTGGGTCTGCGTCTAGTGTGTCTGCAGCCAATTTTTCGATCGAAGGAATAATTTTAACCTTTTTAACAATTCTTGCATACAAAATGAAGAGGCATCACTTATATCCTACAAATAAAAATTACCTGTTGATTGAAAAATCGACCCTAAGATAGCTAGCGGAACATGGGTACTTAATTGTACTTAAACATGCCTTAACCTGCTCCTTCAAAGATGACATGCGAAGATTTTGTAAGCACATTACGAAGATTTAAAGACCCATTTCAAATGAAGAAACTTTACTAACTTAGCTTGTATGTTTGAAATCATGATCGTAGACTAAGCTACTAAAATATGAAAATCCACGTCAGGTAATGTAGGTACACATTAAGACTAACTTACCTTAATAACTTACTCGTGCCTCATACCGAAATTACTGTAGAAAAACATTTCGTACAAATTGTCATAAAATAAGTAATAATATAGCTCTGACATTTATTCGTTAAATAATCCCCATGATTGGTCATTACGCTAATCTAGAAATGTTTAGTGTTTGTAGACACGAATTTATACTGAAATAATTTTTGCTTTTTATTTTTTCGAAATACAATAATTACGTACTTTGCTTAAGTATGTATGTATGTACTCATCAAAAGATTTAAGAGGTCTGATTAAGTTTACGATAGGTAATGAAATTACAATGACAGCTAGCTCACTTTAATACATTTGACATTGACTTTGCGTAAAGAGCTGTGAGTTTTTATTTATTCTGCCCTGAAATTGTGATTATTATTTCTGTATATTTAATAGTTTACCACATGTTGTTAAATGATAGATAGTTATACTTGTCCTTTGTTTTTGATAAATAACCAAAATATTCTAATTCTTATTTCTATGTCTGCTTTTTTGGGTGACCGAGTACTTTTGTTTTCTTTTTCGATTTTGTTATTTAAGTCTTTATAGACAATTTACGTCAACGTTGAAAATAGTGGACAAATTATTAAAATTATGTCAAAAAGAGGTTTTATTTTTAAACCAGTAAAAAAATGTACGCAATTTTACATCACAAAAGTACTAATAAAAATTCAGAGCACTCTGCTGCTATTTACTAAAATAAAAACAAAATAATTCAACGCCAGTATGACTACCCGTTGTCCTTTATCTTGTAGATAAACAAAAAAGTAGGGCTATGAATAACGCTTGGTGCCCCAAATGTTGAGCACCTCTGACGATGACAGAAACTTTCTCATATTGCTGCTATAAATCTGTGGTGATAACCGCGGTTGGTTCAAGTGTATTTTACGCCGTTTTACGTTGAAAGTATTGGCGAGTTATTGTTTAAAGTCAGTTTGATGCGACTGACTAAGGGCCGATTTCTCCAACGCCAGATAAATTTTAACTGAGGAATAACTTTGAATATTTAACAATTCTTCTAATTCTTCTAATTTTATTCTACAGTTAAGAATTAACTGATCATTGAAAAATCTACCTTAAGAGCAATATATATTTTCATAATAAGAATTTCATAATTTCTGAGGATGTAGCTTACATTATATTCGAAGGAGTGAAATTCTATTATTTTACCTCTAGTTTATTTAATTATGTAATTGCATTTAAGTATGTCGCCAACTTTGCAGTTTCATAAAATTACAGTAATGTAACCAGTCTCGCATGTCTGAATGAGATACTAAATGAAAAACTGTGTTTTGCATGAATATTATTCTTACGTCCATTTTCTTCACAGCTGGGTAACAGAAAACGAATTTTACCCCAGTACCGTAAAACAACACCATAAACCTATACGAAAATTCCCATAAGCAATATCCCCTACCTGTAATCTGGGGTAACCGGTGTTTTCATTTCATTCCCAACATATTATCATACGGAATTCATTCGTGTAAAAGACGCAAAAATTTAAACGAACCGAATAAATTATAAAAAAATGGCTGCTCTGACATGAAAGGGGGAGTTATCATGAATGGGGATTAGGTATTGCAAGTTGTTAAAAGGATTTATGGGCACCTGGGGCCTATCGTATGCTGGAGCAATTATTTGCCAGGACGAATTGGGGTAAAAGTCAAATTGCAGTGGCATATGTAATATGTATGTATGATGCTTTGAATTTTTACACAATATGTAATAATATCTATACTTAAAAGGCGTGACGCTTTTTAGAAAGGGTTGGTAAAGGTGAACGGTATACAATGTGAAAAAAAGGGTGTATATTTCTTCAATAATTGTGTTATAAATCCCATCGAGGGGGTAGAGTGTATTGTTTTCGATAATATGCAGGTTTTACTAAAATTTTACCTTTGTATATATATAATATTAATACCTGATTTTTAGATACATACACAGTACACACATTTTTATTGAAAGAACTCAGTTACAGACAGACTGCACAGTTGGTGCGGTGGCTAGGCATCTGGCTGCCGCGCTGCGTGTCGCGGGCTCGATTCCCGCACGGAACAACTCTTTGTGTCATCCACATATTGTTGTTTCGGGTCTGGGTGTCATATGAATGTGAACTTGTATGTTTATAAACGCACCCACGACACAGGAGAAAATCCCAGTGCCCCGGCAACGTTTAAAAAAAATTACAAAAGATTTTCACCGTTAATTTAGTTGTGATTGCAACCAGTTAATATTAATTTCGAAAATATTGTACAAACATAATGTACAGTCATATACGAGTACTTGCGTCACACTACCATTGCGAGATCTTTGTTCCAAACTCTCACCAAGTTGGCGCAAATTTTCAAAATAGAACTCTCTGTTAACGATCAAGTTAATTATTATCTTGTAGGTACGTAAATTGAAAGCAATCCTTTTGTTTAAAATATAAATGGAAGATATTTTGGTCATAAAATATCATATAAATAAACGATACGCGCAATAATTTCACAAGGGATCTGGTATTTTTCAGTTCGTACGAGGAAGTTTAAGGCCGATGTGGCCTTGGTTTTGAACGGGTAGTCTAAAAATATGTGCGTTCTGTTGGTACAATTTTAGGATGTTCATGAAGTTAGTCTTCTAAATGTCGTGGTGGCCCAGAGGTTTAAAACATGCCCACTTCTAATGCAGGTTCGAAACATATCAACGGCAAGTACCAATGTGACTTTTTCTTAGTTATATGTACACAAAGCACCGCTAATTAGTTCGAGGCGCTACACATCGACATTACTATCATTTACACAGTGAACATGTGTGGGTAATTTCATATTAATAAATATGTATAGAAACATTCGTTCTATCACACACATCTTGGTATTACATATCATTTTTGTGTCGGTATACGTAATATTTTAGTAAATAAGTTTAAATAAAAACGAGGGTAAAGATAAAAATACTCATAACAAACTTTGAATAAATCGAAATCAAAAATAATGAACGATCGAGCAATACAATACTTATATAAATATAGTGCATTCTCATTGTATTTTTATGTTACTGAATGATATACAATATTTCGATGTTCTCATCTACGGCGCGCTTGGCGCAATGGTTATCGCCTCCAGTGGTCAAGTAAAGTGCCACCGGATCGATTCCAGCATTCACATGTTGTTTTAGTATTAATTAATCAAATATTTGAAATGTGAAATTAGAAACAATTAAATCTTTTCTTTTTTTCCTATCCTATTTTTCTAAATCTTATGTTAATTTTAATAGTAAATACTTTAGATTTATTTATACCTATAATATCCTTTATTTATATTTTAGTTCTAGTTATTTATTATTTAGAATAATTTAGAATGATTGGAAGAACTTTAAAGTTAACATGTGGTATATAATTAATTATTAGATATAAATATTGAATATAAAACCACATATTTGTATAATTAATAAATTAATTTTAATAAAAAATAGTATTGTTTTATTTACCGACTGATTTGCTTCTTTTATAGCCTGATATTTATATTATATGACAAAAAACAAAAAAAAATAAATAAGAAAAACAACAAGGTAAAATAAAAAAAAACTTTTAGCTGGAATAGAACCCACATCATCATTGATCCTTGAAAGACGATAAAAGCGTACTCATTAACCAATCGACCACGAGCACTACGATAATTACAGTGAAAATGTCGGGTCATATCAATGATTGTAAATAGTTTTAACCTTACCCATGC